ACGTATCCTTTCAAATGCATCCCGTTTCAGTGGCAAATTCAGCAATGCAAACGATTTTTCTCCTTCCAGATCAGAATACTTTTCACCACGCCATATAAATGTCAAAATAACTCCACCACCCTCGGCTCCTCGGCCTAGTGGGCGTAGATTCACTTCACCTCCACCGCGGCGTTCCCACTCCAGTGGTAATTACAGAATACCTGTCAGAAACGCTGACAGTGATTGTAGATTCCATAGGGTAAACTTTGCCGACACCTCAACGGGTTCCTACAGGAAATCAAGGTCATCGCTTACGCGTCACCAAAGACAAGATGTGGGTACAAATGTCAGCAATCAATATACAACGGAATCACCTTCACGTCGCTCTAATAGACGGTTTTCAAACGGACGCTGGCGTTCACAGTCACCACCACGAGCATCAAAATCATTCGCTGAACAGTTAAGAAAGTCCAGATTAGAAGATCAGGAGGCTGATAATCCATTTTCAATTTGGGATCCAGACTCAAGCCGTTGGTCTCGGGATTTTGAGAGTAGTTTTGATGAGTTCATGGGTCCCAGGCCCAGCGGTTTCGTAGAAGATGAAGATACGTCTTCTGGTTCGCTATTTACAGACGAAATGGAGTTTAACTCACGGAAGAGATTGTCTCCGAGTGAGAGAAACCTTCTCTTTCACACGTGGAACCCAGTCTTTTATTGCAACGAAAGCCCCGGGTATATAAATGATAACATTGTGAAAACTTCAATGATTGATCCACGATATCGAGTGTTCTATTGAACTGTAAAGAAGGTAAAAAGATAAACTTGCTTTAATCTATAATTAGTACTTTCTGATTCTCTGTGTCTGCGTGTTCTTAGCGACATTTGGTCATTTTTTTCATTATTTTGCACTTTTAAAAATAAAGCTAATGGATTATTTCATTAAAAACTAACTCTTCTTTTGATAAATAAACACATTAAAACTTTCATTCATTTTAATGAATATATATATATATATATATATAGTGTTGGAAAATGATATATAAATTTTTATATATCAAGAACAATTTTATGAAAATCTATGACAAAATGGAAAAAGTATTCATGTGACGCGTTTCGTCCTTTAGGACTTCATCGAAAGGTCAAAACGCGTCATAAGAAAACCTTTTCCACTTTGTCATAGATCTTCCTATATATATATATATATATATATATATATATATATATATATAGTAACACAGTAAAAGGAGCTAGAAATGCGTTTGAAATTATTTTACTATAGAAATGTATTGGGAATTGGTTTAATATATATATATATATATATATATATGTATTAATAAGTAGTTTACTATAGAAATGTATTGGAAATTAGTTTACTATAGAAATGAAAATTTAAAGGCTCCGTCTTTGTGTGTATTTTAGGTGTGGTGCGTTTTCACTTATGATAAACAAAGAAGAAGCATACAAAAACTTGGGTTTCTACAACAGACCGTTTATTCTCTTCTTATATATAAAATGTCTTGAAATAAAGTTCTTAATGTCTCTTGGGTATGTACGTTTTACTTTTGGTCCAGGAGTCAGGGTAAGTAAGTAAAAGCATCATATTAATGGTCGAGATCAAGTCAGCCTTGCACAGAGGTGAAACAATTTTGTTTGGAAGGTTTGTACTTAGTTATGAGATGTCCATTTTCTTTTTCTTGGCCCAGTAGTTAGGGTAAGTATAAGCATCTTTACAATAGTCGCACTCAAGTCAGCCTTGCGCTTAGTTGAAACAACCAACTTTTTCGATCGCTGCAAAACGCTTTGATGTGGAAAACTTTCTCTAATGAAAACCAGATTCATACCCTGTGGAATTAAACTCATGAGAGACCGGAGAACTACCTGATAAGTGGCAACGAGACATTGTAAATAATGGTTAATACAGAATTGAATAAATTGTAATTGTACGTTATTTTTTAAAGAATGAAGTTGACAAACAAAAGTAAATTATTTATAACTTGACTAAAGTGCGCGGCGTTGAGTGGCTGTATTTAATACTGTTAAATCAAGGCAGAGTCATTCATGCACATTGTAGTGCCATAGTTTTGTTTGTTTATATTTCCTCGAGTCACGTGTCATATCATCAACGAACTCCAGACAGAATGCTTCCACGATTACTACAATCTTAACCTGTTCAAGTCTAGGATTAACCATTATCTTGCCTATACGCAAATATTGTGCCTCCGATTCTGTAACCTTCTACCTCGATTTGCACTATGGCCTTGTACAGGGAAAACATCATTGTAAAAAAAAAAAATAGTCCGAAGATGCTGAAATGATTCTCCTGGTCGTTGTTGATCAACGCTGCACAGTTCGAGGTTGCTAATCCACTTTCCTGATTACATGATGTGAATCTAAAGTTTCGTCTGAAATTGACAACTTTTTCCATTTCACTGAAGCAGACGTTAAACACATAAGAGTGTAATCGCTTGTTCTATCTTCCCTGCTTTATCTTTTCCTTCTTTTTTTCTTTCATTTTCTCACTGAAACCGTGCAGTTTTTTTCCGTTTTTCCACACGATCAAGATGGAATAGTCTATTATTTATGAGGTATTAGCAGGGCGTAGCGTATCTGCTAACTAAAGAATTAAGGGAAGGACAAGCACAATTACAAGATTATTATTATTACAACAGTTCCAGTAAAAAACGATTTCCTGTAAAGAAAATAAAGACTCAGTTATATAACCTGGAGAAGACAGACATACTGTCGAAATATTGTTAAACATTGTTAAACACCGTGTTTTTTTTTTTTTTCTGGAAAAATGAAGTATTGTAAAATATCAGAAGAGTTGCGTCAGTTGTTATTATTATTAGCTATTGGAAATTGCTGTTTCAGCCTCACGTGTTTATAAAATGACATAAAATGACTCATGGTACTTTACTTCGAAGAATCAAAAATAAAATAGTCGTTACGCATATGTAGGTATTTTAAAAATGTGGGTATACCGATATTATCTTATCGAAGTTATTTATATACCAGATAACGCCCGATTATTATGCTGTTACGATAGCAATCAAAAGGTGTGTTAAAACGTTGAGTCATAACCTGGGTATCAAATAAGTCAAATTGAGACGAGAAAAAATTATACATCTTTGATCTCATGGTGGGGATTTTTGAGAAAATCAAATCTATCCCTTTTTTAAAAGCACAAAAAACGGTTTGTCTGAAAAAGTATCCAGGCTTCCTGATTATCCTGAGTACTGGTGGCGCAACATTAATGTAAAAAACAACCAATCAGAAGGAATCTTACTGCGCATGCGTTAGGTTAATCAGCAGTATGACGTCATTAAATGAACTGTGTATGGTGTGTGCGTTGTAACGACCGAGCGAGTAGATTCTTCGGGTTTACTGTAGAGTTTTTTTTTTTTTTGGCAAACTTTGATTCACGGCCTTCGCACCATAATCGAAGTGTAGTATCTGTTCTCTTCATTTTAGATGGGACAAGATCCCTGGTCCCGGTTAGTTGGTTGGTTGTTTAGTTGATTGGATGGTTGCTTTTGTTTAGTGGCATATCAACCTCTAAGTATTATTTAATGCCGACATCTAGATATTTTGTACGCATTTTTCTAGATATTAATGGTTTAATTATAGAAGTCTTACTAATTAACCCATAGCTGGAGGAGAAGAGGTGGATTCATACCTTTCCCAAAGGTATTTACGCGTAAGTGAATATAACGAACCCAAATGAAATTTGAACTCGGCTCTCCGATTAACAATTCCGAATATTATTCATTGCACCACCCGCACATAAAAGCTTACTGCACCCGGTATTCCCAAGCGATCACCCATCCATGTATTGACCAAACTAGATGTTATTTAACTTCGGGAATCGGTGTTTCAACATGATGTGGCCGTAAGCGCATGGTCCCTGGGGATTCCAACCCTGCAACAACACCTTTCTCTTTGCACTGAGAGATGCGGATGGTGTAATATCGACCCCAGCATGTCAGTGGTAGCTGGGATTTGGCGATTGTACCCCTATGGGCTCCCATATAAAAAGATCTCGTAGAAAATAAATTGAGGAGCTATACAAAAAATAGAAAGGGGCGTGAGACAAGGATGCGTCTTCTCCACAGATTTATTCAACTTTTACAGCAACGCCATCTTAAAAGAACTGGAGACCCTACTAAAATTTATTATAGGTGGGCGTAATCTTAACTATATAAGATACGATGGACAACTCGGAAAGGACACATAGTGAGAAAAAAAGAACTAACCAACTGCAAGAAAATAGAAAGTATGATCATCAAATGAAAAATCCCGAATTACGAATTATGAATTGGAGATATAAATATCAAGCAGGCGTGGGAGTTTAAATACCAGGGAAACGTTTTAACAGGAAATGGAAAATGTGGCACCGAGAACCGAACACGCATCAAAAAAGTGAAGCAAGATGTTGAGAAACGGAAAAAAAATTCGATAGAAACAAAGAAAAGAGTGCTGGATTACATTCACTTATATGGCAATGAATGTTGGACAATTTCCCCAAAGATGAAGAATAAACTACTGTATAGAGGCAACAGAAATGTGGTTCGAAAAAAGGATACTGAAAATTCTATGGATGGATTGAGTAAGGAACAAAGAAGTCTTAAAGAAAAGAAAGAACACTTATACTCTAAATCAGGAAAAGATAGGCATAATGAGAAAGGAGGGCTTGAAAAACTTTAACTTCATTGGGCATATTGTGAATAAGAGAGATAGGGAAAGGCAGTGAGCCACTTGTGTGGAGGTATGGCGGAATAGGGGCGGAGGCCTTAGAAAAGGTGCAAAACTGCTATGAGTCAGACAAGATATAAAATTGTGGAGAGCCATGATCATTAAGTTCTGATGGGAGGCGTCACATAGAAGAAAATTCACATCCTAGTTTTGTAGGGAGGTCATATATTTACGTATAAGGGAATATAATAAACTCATTTGGAATTGGAACTCGACCTTCCACTTAACAATTCCGACTCATTATCCATTACACCATTAGCATATCCAAGATTACAGCACCTGGTATTTCCAAGCGGTCACCCATCTAGGTACTGACCACGCTCGACGTTGCTTAACTTTGGTGATCGTACGGGAACTCGGATCTCCGATTAACAATTCCGAGTCATTATCAGTTACACCACTCGCACATCCAAGCTTACAGCACCTGGCATTTCTAAGCGGTCACCTATCTCGGTACTGACTAGGTTCGACGTTGCTTAACTTCGGTTGAAGTTGATCAGTGATGACCTCAATATGTACTAGGTACAAGAGATACTAAAATAGATTCAATGTCATCAGAGTAGCCAGGTTGATCTAGAATGTAATACCATAATCATCAGGCGCTGATTCGTACCTTGCAGCATGTGGCTGCTCCCAACATGTAAACTGGTGGTCGACCAACCTGTGCTTAGGATGTGCACATATGGAACAACCGAATGGCAAGGAGATATATAAGTACCTCATTCGAGAGAAGAGAGAGAGAGAGGGGGGGGAGAGAGTCTCGCGTCCTCGCGAGAAAAAGAATCCATGTTCGAAGAAAACCCCCCAAAGTTACATATCCACTCAACGTATTGACGAAGCCCGAATGAATAATAATTTATCTCATGAGAGATTTGGTCTCCTGTTCGAATAAGTCTTCTCAACAATAATATTAAAATTTAATTTTTAGCTTTGTGCTCTAACTCAACTTTGACAAGGAAGATAATACATTTGAAGCCAGATATAAATAATTGTGAACTCTACTACAACCCAAAGCTAAAATCGTTTATTAAATACTGTGGACGAGATTAAGGGGAACGAGACGATGCAGTTGCCAGAATTCTTTGCAGTATTGAAAGTGCAATGTATATGAAGATAAGTAAGTAGCGTCCCAATGGGAAATGTATTGAAATGGAAGAAAACGCCATTTCCCTAGAGAGGCTATATTTCGTTAATATTGCATTTCTGAACCATTTCCTGACCGACCGCGTAAAGGTAATATGATCTGTGATTTTTCACAAATGAATATGCAATCAATAAAATCATTTTATATTTGTCTTTGGAAATTAACTTAAAAGATCTTTTAAAAATGTTTGGAACGATTATTTAGCCAATTCTTTTAATATCTTGAAAATTTTTAAGATATGCGAAATGCTATCTAAATCTTTCAGGAATATGACCATGAAAAATTTATTTAATTTCCACCCTCTTCGTAGCAGGAGACAGTAGAAACTAAGTAATAGATTACTGCACACAGAGGGTAACAGTTTAATTCTGTAGGACATTAGGTTAAGATCATCTTAGAATTTAACACTAGTCATATAAGGACACTTTCTCATACATGCAGTTGCTACCTTATTTTTTTATTGCAGCGAATCTTCGGTACTGGCTCTCTGCAACTTCCTATTCTTCGTACCTCTAAGTAATATTTGTAACTTTACTATCCCTCCCTGTCTCTGTTCTGCCATTCATCTACATAAGCTAATTAGGTAAATTATTCACTATTTCCTTCTGTTTCCCGTGTTTTCAGATCGTCTCTGAGTGTCAAATTCTCCAGTCCGTTTTTCCTCATTATGGGTCTTATGACTTTCAAAAGTCTCTTTCTGGTTGTAAGTATACTTTATTTTGTTTCTATTTTCTTTTAAACTTCTTCATTGCTCATATGCTCCGACGATAGTATTCTCAGCATCCTTCTTTTGAATTGCACTTCTGTTTCCTCAAGTCTACTCTTATTCCGTGATGAAATTTTCTAACATTCAGGAAGATTTGGGCTCTTCATCTTAGTATAATAGTTAGCAATAGTTAGCAAGCCTGTCTCGCTAGTTCATTTATGACTGAATAGTGAGTTCGCTCCTCACTGGGTACCCCATACTTTCGGTTTTGTGCCACATGCAAGCTACGCTTAGAAAATTACCATATGGGAAGATTTGCGACTTAAATTTAGCCGCACGGGTAATGTGTGACAAGGGAGATAAGTTTACAATGTAAGGGAGGTAACTGACAAAACTATTCTGAAATAATTTCATTTTAATTAAACACTATTTCTGCTTCAGTAGATATATAAGTAGATACATAATAAATAATTAGTATGTAATATTTGTTGTCATTGATGAGCTGAAAAATAAATTGTCCAATTAGTACCCTTTAAACTTGTTAAGAATGTTTTATTTTCGCATTTCAAATCTATTAAAAATTCAAATTAAAGACAATTTTTTAAATGTACTGTAATATTTATATATTTTTAGCCATTTCACCAAGTAAGGGAATAAAGTCATTAAGTCACAAGGGGATTACAAAGTGTTAGAGAATATGAGAAAAAAAACACTATTAAAAACAGAGAACAATAAAAGAATAAGAATTAAGAAGACTGTAGCTTATATAGAGGCGTTGGGCTTAGGGGTTTAAAATGAACAGTTGATTTACCCATGCCAAGAAGATTAATGAAGGATATAATGACGAAGAAAAACACGAGTAATTTTAACAAAAGAAGATAAGGAATTTATTCACGAATTTACACTCTTGAAGTAGTGTCAGTAGCTTATTTCAGGAAAATAAATCAGAATTCTTAAAGTCTGTAGTTCTAACGCATTGATATGAAGAAGAAATGTTTATACAACAGATCAAATGATCTGACACAAAATAATATTAAAAAAATGTTTAAGACAAAAGTAAGAGAGTTCGTTGCTCACTGAGGGGATATAGGGTTTGCATACGTTCAAAATTAGACGAAGAAAGATAGTTTAAAATACTTAGCTTTCTTGGATTGTTGAGATAAAATTCTTTGAAGTATCGAGTGTTGGTTAGAGGCTGATAATATAATTAGCGTGTAATTTTACACTGGAGAGAACTTCAACGTTGGTTGCGATGAACTGAAACTTCAGAAACTCTTTTCTGATTAATTTAAGTTTTCTCCTCATTTTATAACAAAACGAATTTCGCGTAGGCTCGCTACTCTTCTTCTTCTTCTTCTTCTTCTTCTTCTTCTTCTTCTCCTCCTCCTCCTCCTCCTCCTCCTCGGCTAATGCCTGTGAAGGCAACGTTTTCATCGAACCAATAAAGATTGGCATTGCATTTAAATTTTTAATGATCAAAGTTGAAGCAAGAAGTCGGAAAAGTGTTCCACAAGCAAGAAGTGCGATAGAAGAGACTATTACCATAGAACATATGGTTACATCTATTCATATCAACTATAAAATGATGAGACTTTGTTACCAATCTAGTACTGCGTTTAAATTCACAAAGTCTACGTATCAAAGAGGAAAGCTCATCAGAACAATTACTATAAAATATTATTAGAAAAGGCACATGGAAGCTACATTTATGCTTTATATTCACTGCCATTCACTGTCATATGGGAGGGCGGATCTGAACAATCTCATCACAGATGAAAAAGAGACTTGAGGCAACAGAAATGTGATTCTACAGAAGGATGCTGAGAATACCATGGACTGAATATGTGAGCAACGACGAAGTTTGGGAGAAAATAGAAATAAAAAGGACACTTGTGTCATTTCAGTTGACTCTTTCCAATCATATAAGTTATACTTATTATCAGAAAGAGGTATTTCTAGGTAATATAATGTGAAAAGAGGGCTTGGAAAATTTGATACTCAGAGAACATATTGAAGGCAAGAGAGCCAGAGGAAAGCAACACATAAGCTCCCGATTCTACATTTTTGTGTAAATGGTTGGCAGAATAGGATCTTGTAAACAAAGCAAAAATAACAAACTTTTACTAAGAGCTACAAAAGACAGGAAATTGTGGAGAGCCATTATCGCCCATGTTCTGAGAGGACACAGCACATAGAAGAAGATGGTCCACATAGGGTAGTGAAAGCGAAAATGTTTTTTCTTTTTTTTTATAAATTCACCCCAAGCAAAGTGATAATGCCACGAAGACGCGAGTGAAGGTGAATGACAGGACATTACAAGAAACCGAGAACACAATCCTAAACAGGAATAAACCTCTACTCTTGTTTAAAAGATCGGAGACGACAGGCGAACCTATCTACTCCTATTGAAAGAAAAATAAATAAAAAATAAATAGTAAATAAAAGTTCAGCGTTTAAGCGAAGATGTTAGAAGTATAAAGTTATAAAATAAACAAATATTTTGTAATAAGTACAACATTTTATAAAATAATTTAGTAAGAAAGGAAAAAGTCCTTTTTGTGTGTAGTGTAGAATATGAGTATTTGCTTCGTATCGAGTTTATAGGTGAATTACTGTTTAAATCAAAGGTTCTTTCATTGAACAGCGTGTGTTCGACTCCTGGCCGGCTGCTATCGACCGTCTATCTCTGGCGTTTGACTGTCTGTTTAGATGGAATGTTAACGCCTCTTATAGTCCACTATCGTTTAGAGACTGTTTGGGTGCTTGCTGTCTGTGTGTAGAAACGATCTGAGTAAGTGATTCTTGTTTCTATAACCTGCTGCTTAAGGGTTATGGTGTTTGCACAAAATAGTATGATTTGCGTATGTCTTTTTTATTCAATAAAATTTTACTTTGTTAAATTCCTGTTGGTTTAAAACTTATGGATAAACTTGTGTTTTGGCCATTTGTTGTGGTAGTAGTTATAACTACAAGAACTACTACAGAAGGTAGTGAAGGAAAGCAAGAAGAAAGGACTAAGCATCAATTGCAAGACGGAATACATGGTTGTTAGCAAAAGAAACAGCCCAACATGCAAATTACAAATTGGAGATATCAAACAATTTAATCATCTGGGAAGTGGTTTAACAGAGGACAGAAAGTGTGACACTGAAATCCAAAGGCGCATTGAAATACGTACTGAAAGATGCCTTTCAAAAGCTAAGCAACGTTAAAAAACATGAAAATTTCATTAGAAACAAAGAAATGAGTACTGAACTGTTACATAATATCAGTCCTTCTATATGCCAGTGAATGCTGTACAACGCCCTCACAGCTGGAGAAGAGACTTGAAGCAACAAAAATGTAGTTCTACAGGAGGATGCTGAGAATACTATGGACTGAACATGCAAGCAGCGATGAAATTTTAGAGAAAATGGAAACAAAATAGACCCTTATACTTAACGTCAGAAAGAGACAGTTGAATTTTTTAGCGCACAGAATGAGGAAAGAGGGTTTGGAAAATTTGATACTCACAGAACAGATCGAAGGCAAAAGGGACAGAAGAAAACGACGCATAACGTACCAAACGAACTCGAGTAAATGGTTGGCGGGACAAAATTTAGGAAAGATAAAAAAAAGATAAAATTTATTAAGAATTACAAAGGTCAGGGAATTGTGGAGAGCTATGATAGCCTACGTCCTGAAGGGACACGATATATAGAAGAAAAAGAAATTATTATAGTGTTATTATATATGTTTTTTTTTATTTTTTCAATCAAGGTAATAAAGCCACTAAGACACACGGGGTTACTGGGTGTAATGAATTAGAAAACAGAAACATTACTAAGGAGCGAGAGGAAAAGAACAGTAATCAGGAGGACAAGTAGAACAGGATTCAACGAGACGATGGCGATTGAAACTGCATTTAAATTTTTGAATATCAAAGTTAAATGGAAAGTGACTGAAAGAGAGTTCCACAAGCGAGAAGTGCCAGAAAAGAAACTGTAGTGGACCGTGGCTGTGATGTTGTTGATAGAAGTAGATGAGTACATGTGGGTTAAGATTTTCCTGCTAGCCGGTCCAACTACATGAGAAAGTTGAACTTTAATTAAGTCCAAAAAAAGCAAAGAAAAACAAACACAAGACCCATAAATATATGTATACAAATATATGTATTAATAACAAGTTACATGGACAGTTACAAATGGACAGAGTGTGTGTGTGAATATTGTGTGTGTGTGTGTGTGTGTGTTCGTACGTACGTGTATTGTGCTTAGCGTGTTCCCAGCATTTGGGAAACGCTTTCTCTGTGAGCGTTCACATCTGCGAGATGGTAAGGCTGAAAGCCTGAGGAAAAAGAGAGAGAGGCGAAGGGTCAGCAACTATTTATAGCCAGGGAAGAGAGACCCCTGGGGAAAGGGTTAACGAACTAAAGGAGGAGTTAACTCCGACAAAACTGTTAGCATAGAATTTACAGTTACATCTAGCCAACCCAAAGGTAAATTGGTGAGATCGTCACTGGTCTACTATTGCGCTTAAATTCATAAAGTCTAAGTACCATAGCGAAGAGCTCATCTGAACAGTTGTATTTATAGAAAAAGCATAGGGATTCACTTTACCGTGGTGGGCAAGTGAATGAAACGAAGACGCCAGATCAGGATCAATAATATTAGTGATTCTTCTTTGGATCAAGGATCTATAGATATATATAACAGGAGCACCAGACCATATATGGCAACAATATTCTAAGCATAGACGGATGGTAGACTTATAGATATGTTTAGATAAATTATGGAGAGAAAATTGTCTAGCGCGACACAGTGAACTAACTTTCTTAGTAACTAACCTAGCAATAGATTCAGTATAGTCTTTCCACTTCGTGACAGCCGAGAGCGTTAGCTTAAGAAGGCGCGAATGAGTCACTCTCCAGGAGGTTAGAAACAGCCATTAGAGAAAGTCCGTTGACACTTAAACAGGAGTTTGAAAAAAATAAAAATAAAAGTGGATCATAAATTTATGAGACACATAATGAGGAAGAAGGGCTTGGAAAATTTGACATTCACAGGACATACAGAAAGCAAAAGGAACATGAAGAGTCAGCAGACCTGACGAGTTTATACGAATGGATAGCAGAACGGAAAGACAAACATTACTAAGAGCTGCATGTGATAGGAGGCTGTGGAGAGCAGTGATCGCCAATGTCCTGAAGGGACACTGCACAAAGAAGATAAATCTAGTGCGAACATAGTAGTGAATGTAACATATCATTATAGATAATATTTCCCGATTAATCGTTATTAGCTTTAAGTATTTGAAAAAGCTTTCACTTGATCTAAAACATATAAAAGAGACTTAATCACGTTGAAACACCGGTTCTCGTATGATCACCGAAGTTAAGCAACGTCGAGTCTGGTCTGTACCTAGATGGGTGAACTCTTGAAAATACCAAGTGCCGTAAGCTTAGATCTATCAATTATATAAAAGAGAAAAAAACTGGGAAGCTCTCAGGCGTCACAAATGTTTACTTATATGTGTGACTCTACGCTGAACTCCTTTTTCCGCCACTGAAAGAGAGGAGACCAGTGTTCAGACAGGCCGAAAGCGAAGACGTACCGAAGATTCTCTTACATTCATCAACGTCTTTTCTGTTCTCACTTTACATTAGAGATGGTACCTGGTTACGGGTATTCCAAACCCCCGACAGCACTTTCTTCATTGCATTAAGAGAGGGGTGAGTTCGATGCAATATTCACATCAACATGACAGTGGTCGCAGGGACTTTCTTTTCTTTTTTTTTTTTTGACTATCCAAACGCAGACCCACGTCAAGAAGTCCTTGTGTTACATCTTGCCACTGTGGGAAAGTGAGTAAAGAACCTCTTCCTTGTGAACAAGCACAGTAGCAGACATGATTTAAATGTTAAAGCAGGACTTAGATTCGGAGACTTGCTTTCTCCCTGTTATAGACAAGCGTATGGTTGCAAGAAATATACGACAACAGCAGAAATAGATTTACGTGATTTATTTCAACAGGAACGTGAGGGTTTGGGACAGCTACCTTGTGGTATAGTTCATAAGCCGGCTTCGGATCTAGGTCGATCTCTCATAGTAGTTCACAAATGTTGACGCTGGCGCTCCCCTGCTGACAGCTGCCGACCGCTCGGCCTGACCGTGACAGGTCTCTTCCCTGGCCACCTATTGACTGCCTGTTGTACTTCCCTGTGACCCCTTTTATGGCGTTTTTTATGGCTTAACAGGCTCGAAAAACGAAGCGAGTATAATTAGGAGGGAAGCATTTTTATTGGACGAAAAATAGAACACTTTAAATATTATTTTATTTTTCGACCGGAACTCGTGCGTCGGGAACATTTGTAAACGAAGATAATGGTCATTTTGTGACGTTCACATCCGGCTCACGCTCTTGAGTATGTTAGTTTATTTGCCTGTAAATCAGCCGAGATATGTCTTATTTTATTTTATAACATCGCTAGTTTTGTCAGACACAGAGATAGACACTTTCTGCGTTCACTAAGTCATTTTGATGTCAGTGGCACTAAAATATGGTCTCTATATTTACACGTTGTTTTCGTTGTCTTTTCCTTCATTTTCTGGGTATACATTTTTTGTACTTCTTTGAACATGCTTACAAGATATTTCATTGTGTGTGTATGCATATACGTAATGTCTGTATGTATATGAATGTGTGTGTTTGTTGCTACGTATTATTCATTGTCCTCGTGTGTGTGTGTGTCGCCACGTATTTTCATTGTTTTTGTGTGTTAGCATATACCTAATAATGTCTATATGCATGGTATATGAATGCATGCAAGTGTCACTACGCATTTTCTTTGTGTGTGTGTGTGTGTGTGTGTGTGTGTGTGTGTGTGTGTGTGTGTGTGTGTCAGCATATACGTGATGCCTGTATGCATATGAATATGTGATTTTGTCGCTACATATTTTTTTCATTGTCTTCGTGAGTGTGTGTCATCCATTTAGCGAATGATTGCATGTGCGTAGGTATTTATCCGGGCGTTCACGTCGCAACAGAATAAAACACAGAACGTTTTAATCTCGGCTATCGGCAAGACGTAAAAAATTGCTCAAACCACTTCAGAGGTTCCTCCTCTTTTAGCTTGACGTGCCTTTAACCGATTTGGGCACAGAGGAGCGTTCGGTTCGGTCTTTAAACTAACCGAACGCTCCTCTGTGGCCAAATCGGTTAAAGGCACGTCAAGCTAAATATTTGATTCCGTATAGGATACAGGTTCGAATCCTGTCGGAGGACGAATATTTTCCGTGAATATTTCTCGGATATTCAGGCCGGTGAATGATGTTTAATACTGTTTATCATTAACAGAGCATTTACTTAAATATGTGTATCTATAAAAAGAATGTATAAACGTAAAAATGTCTTAAAATAATTGTCGGACTTTGTCCATTATATATATATATATATATATATATATATATATATATATATACACAGAGTCTGCCAAAAAATGTATATCCACTTTAGGAAAGGAAAAACATGTCCTTCGTAGTTTTATCAAAATGCGATAACACTTTTTACTGTAGTATTTTCTCGATAGATGGCATCACCCTCAAGGCTGTAGCATCAACAAGTCCTAAAGTTGTGTATCGCAGAAAATCGACTACATTACCCTGTACCTGTAACGGCATTCACCCGAGGTGGGTTGAGCTGGCTCCAATATTAGAGTTTTATGGGAATTTGGAATTCACAAGCGGTCCCCAACCGCATGTATAGCACATGAGATTTGATTATAGTGGTGAAGGTTTCGTGCAGGACCATCCATACTTTTTGAAGGGCCGATTACAAAGACCTGGTGCACTACGTGCCACAAGGTCCCCAAACGACCCTCCGCAGGTTTTGAATTCAGAGTTTTTCCTTCTCCTAGACCAGTTGCCATCCAAGGCTATAGAACCCAGTCTGTCCTGCTATTTACCCATAGATGGAGGGAGAAGAAGAGGATTCACACCTTTCCCAAGGGTATTACGTAATTGAATGGAATGTAACTGGATTCGACTGGAATTTGAACTCTGCTCTCCGGTTCCTCAATCTAAGCCGCTATTCAATATATATATATATATATATATATTCTTAAAAAGAATATAGAGCGTTGTTGAAATGTGCTGCCGGATCAAGCGGTGGTTTCTCTAATAAAGAAGGACGTAGGTTCGATCCCTGCCGAAGAGCACCTTTTCTTTATTGAGATTTCTCGAATACCGAGAGTGATAGACGTATTACCCACTGTTTAAAGTAAAAAAAATAAAAATTAGGCGTATATTTCAAATACATGTATTCACTATATGTGTTTGTGTTGGCATATGTATTGCGTTTGTATATACGAACGTATATGCTTGAATATGTGTATGTTTTTACGCAAAATATATATATGTGGGACTGCTGAAAAGTTCTCGGCTTCACCAAGAAACTCTTTCAAAAACCTCTGATCTTTGGTCGAGAACTTTTCATCACCCCTTTGGAGATTTTCTATATGTGCATGTCCACATGCATATGGGTGTTAATGTGCATATATTTACTAAAAAATAACTTAGTTTAGCATGAGGTCATTGCACTGGAACAATCATCGAAGATATTTGACATGAACTTGTATACGTTTCTGCATACGTATTTTGTGTGTGCGTGTGTGTGTGTGTGTGTGTGTGTGTGTGTGTGTGTGTGTGCGTGCGCGCGCGCGCGCTTCATATATGCACACGTCAGCGTGTGTTGATAAATGAATGGATGGTTAGATGTGCGTGCTTGTATTGTTTCGGGAATCGCATTGGCTTTCTTTGTGTTCGCGTTTCCTTGGATATGTTACAATAGAAGATGAAATAAAGAAAGGCGACTTCACCTCCCTGTCTCTCTCTCTCTCTCTCTCTCTCTCTCTCTCTCTCTCTCTCTCTCTCTCTCTCTCTCTCTCTCTGTGTCCGACACCACCTGAACCAATTAAGTTATAAAAAAAGCTATGACTTGGCAGCAAATACAAAAAGAAGTCAAAGGTGTGTCGGCGAAATCAATCTGTAAGAAATTTTTTTTAAAATAAAACAAGATGGCGCGTCATGTTATGCGGGCGCTTGTTTTTTTCGCCGCTTGTTTATCTGTCATTATTATCGACACTTTCGCCGATATGCCATCTTTTAAATATACTCAACAGGCAGGTAAGTGAAATGAAAACTAACTCTAGTCTATAACTTACCTTTCTTCATAAAAATATTCGGGATGATTTCCATCTTTTTCCTGCTTTGTTTTAATCAAAATATTAATTAATAAATAGGAAATTAGTTCAATCAAACTAACTTTTTGCAAGAAAAACATTAGAAATACCCGTGAAGATTTCGTAGTTTTCCTATTTGAATTTTCAGATGAATCTTAATTCTTAATTTAATGATTGAATAAGAAGCTTCTTGCGAATTTAACCAGTATAAAATACCAATAGAAATTTCCCTATTGCATCGTTAAATATTTGAGCTTAACAACTTTAACAAAATCTTACAAGAACAAACATAAAAAATATGAATGCAGATCATTGTTTAAAGATGTGAGCAGGTACAAATGAAAAGATGTGAAATTAACAAGATTTTCCATTTCAGTAAAGCAGTGTTATCGCGCTCTCTGTCTTTTCTGTTTTTCTTTCTCCCCACCCCCATTCATTGTTTATCTGAAGTAATGGCAGGGTGTGGACATGTGCTAAACAACTACAAAACAAGCAGAATTATAATACGATGATTTAAAAAAAGTCAGACAAGAAGTTAATATCCTTTTTTTATTTATTTCTATCTATTTTATTTTTAGTATCTTTTTGTACGTCTCTAATATTATCTTTGGACCGAATTAAGTTTGGATCTTATAGCCTTAAAAATTAATTTGCCACATTCATTGATAGTAACGTTTTTATTTACCACAATTATAGGAACTTTATTTACTATATTATCTGTTATTACAATGTTTTGTTATGGATAGATGTGTGTGTGTGTGTGTGTGTGTGTGTGTGTGTGTGTGTGTGTGTGTGTGTAGCGGACCGTGGGGTGATGTTGAGTAGAAGTAGAAGAACACACGTGAGTTAAAATTTCCTGCTAGCCGGTTCAACTACATGAGAAAGTTGGACTTTAATTAAGTCTAAAGAAGAAAAGGAAAAACAAACACAAAACCGATATATGTAAAGAAATATATGTATTAATAACAGGAAAGGTTACAAGTTACATGGACAGTTACATGGACAGAATGTCAGTAGTGAATATTATGTGTGTGTGTTGTGGTTAGTGTTCGTACGTACGTGTATTGTTCTTAGCGTGTTCCCAGCATTTGGGAAACGCTGTATCTGTGAGAGCTCACATCTGCGAAGTGGTAAGGCTGAAGGCCTGGGGCAAAAAGAGGTCGAGGCGAAGGGTCACCCAGTAGTTATAGCCAGGGGAGAGAGACCCCTGGTGAAGGGTTAAGGAGCTGAGGAGGAGCTAACTCCGACATGTCTAAGCTAATTTTGTGGGTGTATATTTTCATAAAATTTCACAATTGCACGAATATTAAAAAAAATAACTGTATTTCTAACTAATTAGTTAGATGCCTGATATAAAAACAAGTTCATAGATTTTAATAAATTTCAATATTCACAGTTTACAGGAGAAAAGCAATTAAAAACGTAATTATTTAGATAATTTTTTTCAGCTGTCGGCGAGTGTTTTAATTTTTATCACCTCGTTTATCACTTTGAAGGAAAGGAAGCTGCTTGGTGTAGGTGAGCTAGCATTTTCAAGTTGACTGACTACGACCTGAGGAAACAATAACGAACGATTTGAGAGTATGGAATCTCCCATACTTACCTGTCACCCCCTACGGAAAGATGCACTCTTCCCCAAATTAACTTTTAACCAATCATCACTTCACTTTTCCAAATTCAACTTCCCATTGGTTAAAAGGACACAAAAATGTAGCAAGTTAAGATAAATCCTTTTTTCCCGCGCAGCTGTCTGGAGGCTATTTGAAAACCCAAAAATCTATAAAAAAAAAAGAATCTCTCAAGTTAATTCAAGTCAGTCAATACACTGAGTTTCGAGAGATGCCAGCAGACTCCACGCGTGCCAACACACTGACTCAATAACACTACCAGCCTCACATCAACTCAACACAACTCGCACTACTATTGTCGCGTGAAGAAACTTAACTTATAATTTACTAAAAAAGCGATATTATCACTACGAAATAGTAATTGTACATTTAATCAACGTTAGCATATCAGTCAAAGGCACACAACTTTTCATAACTTGAATCAACACTTACAATTGTCACACACACACACACTATTATTTGAACTCACACAATTGACATTTTACCTTGCAGAAATCAAACTTTTAATTTCACTAACAAACTTATACCATCAACATTCATTCACCAAATCTCTGCATGGACACTCTTTGCAATCTTATCTCACTTGCCACGTTTAACAAGCAATCTATTATCACTTTGTGTATGTCATATATATATATATATATATATATATATATATAAATTCATGTTATTGTTGAAATCTATAACTACGTCTTTTTTTTTCCTTGATTTCTTCAAGTTGTATTGTCTTCATATGTTCGTTTAATTTATTTGTTGTGAATAAATGCATAATGTACACGCACATTTTAGGCCTTCACACAATTTCACCTTCTGACACATCTTACTTAGCATAAATTCCGCAACAAGAGGATTATCTCGACCTTGTCTACCAAGGCACGCACGAGGTGTCGCTGTTTCGGCACTTTAAAAGGGCGGGACAATAAACCCCCCTTCTTCTTTTTGCTCCGAGATGTAGTAATGTAGTAGTGAAAACAACAAAACTTTTCTCCACCTGGGAAGATTACTTCTCTCGGCAGGCCGTTTTCTTAATTTTAATCAACCACGCGGCACACACACGCGCGTGCGCACACACACACACTATTTCTAACAACAAGCCCATAAATATTTTTCTTGCTTGCTTCAGATATCTGTGTACACACAAATGTTTTCTTTTTTCTTGAATTATCTTATTCTTTATTATTATTATTATTAATCATTTCACCCCAAGCAAGTTGATAATGTCACTAGGGTGCAAAGTGTTATTGGTCGTGAAAGAGAATGGGAAAACCTTAGTGGGGAGAAAGGACAATAAAAGAACAGCTTTCAGGAAGACATAAGGCTGTGATTTCCGTTGCATTTCAATTTTTGAAGAACGTAGTTGGCGAGGAAGCAAGAAACCGGAGAATTCCACAGGCGAGAAAAGAAACTATTAGAATAGAACTTATGGATATATCTAGCTATTTCAACGGTAAAAAATGTGAGCTAGTTGCCAGTCTAGTAGTACACTTAAATTCATACAATCGAGGTACCAAGGAAGGGAAGAACAATTACCATGCGACAGTTGGTTCAAAAATATTAAATATCTGTTTTCAAAGGATTAATTTATTAACCATAAGAATGCGCGGATCCTCCGACTCAAAAAACATATTTTGTCATTTGATGAATTCCGTCTTCTCTCCACATGGTCTTATCAATATTGTATAGATAGATATGGGCTTAGGTGTTTTTTTTAAAAACTTTTTTGATTTTTAATTGTGGTAGTCATATGATTAACTTTTAAGGTGGAAGAGGCCAATAATAATAGCCCCTGTCGATCGTCTAAGGCGATACAAGCCGACCGGAAGGTTGCAAAGACGATAGCATAGTGGCCACAGAGTTGCTCACTGGAAATTATTGTAGAGACACTTATCTATGCGTGATAAGGCACTGAAAGAACCCCGATATTAGGCAACTATTGACCAGAGCAGCCTCTCTAAGTGCTACCAAAGAGTCCGGGCTCCTTGCTCTCAGGATACAACAATCAGAAAACTGTCAAGACAGTACCCTCAATAAGAAGAGTCGTAGCCTCCAGCCAGTCATATCAGCAAAAAGTCATGGCAGTTACTCTTATTAAGGCCTCGGGGAAGAGAACTGAAAACCCCATCCAAAACAGAAAATGATAAATCTCTATGGAGAAGGAATATGAACTTACCTCTTTGAAAAAGCAAATATATAACAAGAAATTAGCAAGTAAAATCCCGAAGAGTAGGCGGAGATTTTAGAAGTATAGAATTAAACTGAGAGCATGTACGTGGATTTAAGTAGGGATAGCTACTTTATTATGTCAGCCGTTCACTAATTAATTTTAACTTAACTATTAAGTTTTAACTTAGTATAAGTTGCGTTATCACATAAAAAAACAAACAAAAGAAAACGATGGAAAATTAAACTAACCTGATGACCGGCAATTTATTTTTTATTTCTTAAGCAGTAGGGAGAAGAAAAACTTAAGAAATGAAAAACCAGTAGCCACGTACATATGTGTAGAGTTATCCAGTTGGTCAAATGCGTCAACTTTTGGTAACTTGGTGCTAATGAAAAAGTGGAATTATCTTTGAGATTTCATTCCATCACCCTCCCATACCTCTAACGCGGGGGGTGGTTATAAAATTCCTCCTCGTGTTGAATTTCCATCCTTTGAAAATGTTGAATTCATTTACTTTGAAATTTTTCCAGACAGACAATCATATAAACGATAACATTTGGTACACCACCTGTAGGATGAAACATTTACTAAAGTTCACCACTCTGCAGCTTTAAAATTATTTCTGATCTGAATAACAGGGTTTGATTAATAGCTTGTTGGTACCGTGAAAATTTTTCGTAAAATCAGAAGTTATTACATTTATTGCATAAATAATGAAGGAATAAAATACATTCATATTTTGAGAGTTTTCGCTTCTTTTTCAGATTGTACTTGCAACGCCTGTCAATTTGCCATTAAAGGTAAGATATAAAATAAAAATTATGAAAATGCTTAGTTAAATTTTTTAGAAATGATAATTATTTGTAGAAATTAATTAGTATTTTACACTTTGTCCCTCAAAATACAAACGGGAAATATTGTTAACTAGCTTAAAAGCCGCAACCCCTGCAGACTTTTAAACTAGCAACTGCGATGGGCTAATTGGGAGCTACAGCCCCAAACTAAAGGCACCTCTAGTCCAGCTTAGAAAACAATGATAATTTTTAAATAAATAACATTGAATTCCTCAATTCACTCCATGGAATTTCAAAACCTCACTTTAATTCTGATTCGGCCGAAAATTGAGTTCTTCAAATCCCAAACTCTGTCGTGAAACCTCTCACTTTAACTGATTTCTTGGCATTTTGAAGAAATAAAATTGATTTCTTTAATTCATAAATTTTGGAGATATTTTAAACTAAATTTAGAACATTTTTTTTAAATTCACAAAGTTTTTGTGTTACTTTAAACTCGATATAAATTAAAAACTTTTAAAATCACCAATTTTTTTTCAGTTATTTTAAAATTTGAATTTTTAACTGTTCCCTCCTCATCCGGACAGAAACCCCAATCCTGGATGATCAGACACCGGATGAAGGGTAGATTTTCAATTGCAGGATCATCCTGATTCCAAAAAGGTAACGTGTCTATGTTGTAGAGGACTGTGGGGTGATGAGTATGTAAAACACACGTGGGTAGAAATTTCCTGCTAGCCGGTCCAACTACATGAGAAAGTTGGACTTTAAGTCCAAAGAAGACAAGGAAAAACAAACAAGACCAATAAATATATGTAAACAAATATATGTATTAATAACAGAGGTTACAAGTTATATGGACAGAGTGCGTGTGGTGAATATTATGTGTGTATGTTGTGATGAGTGTTCATACGTACGTGTATTGTTCCTAGCGTGTTCCCAGCATTTGGGAAACGCTGTATCTGTGAGAGCTCACATCTGCGAGGTGGTAAGGCTGAAGGCCTGAGGAAAAAAAGAGATCGAAGCGAAGGGTCAGCCAGTATTTATAGCCAGGGGAGAGAGAACCCTGGTGAAAGGTTAAGGAGCTGAGGAGGAGCTAACTCCGACAATGTGGAACAAGTGTGGCCCTAGTTAGAGGGGTTTCAGATACACAGAATATGCCGTTTATTTATTTAGATGGTAAGACAAAAATCATGTAAAAATAATTCTTCTATGTGCCGTGTTCCTTCAGGTCTTCTTTTCCAAATATTTCTTTAAGTCTCAGTTCTCTTTCATACTTAGCGTGGATTTTCCGTAATTTACTACCTTTAGTTTGATCATAAAACTTACTTCGCTTCTAAATATTGCTTTAAACCTCGGCTCTTCTGCAGACTTCGTTTGAATTTTCAATAATTTATTACATTTATTTTTATTGGTTATTCTCTTTTCATCCATTAACATCAACTCTAGTCCATATATGTGTATTTCTTATGATACATAAAACATGTTGACTAACATTGCTTAAAAAACAGAAATCCAGGTTAATTGCCACATTAAGACTAGATTTTAACACCAGACATTTCAATAATCAAATATAGTTTTACTACGCCAGGTAAAAGATCAAGACTTGAATTGTATCTGCTTATAATAGTACTGTAACGAATGTTATTTTTTTAATAATTTCACCCCAAACAAAGCAATAAAGCCACAAATGTCAAAGAACATGAAAAAAAGAAAAACATTATTAATTGATTCGTTTTTTTTATGGATTATCAACCATTTACAGGTTATTTAAAGCCAGAACATATTTTTAGATTATAAGAATTTTTTTATTTAATGATTTAGTGATACAATTCTTACTAATTAACCCATAGCTAAGGGGAGAATAGATGGAATTATACCCTTTCCTAATGGTATTTGCGCATAAGTAAATATAATGAACCCAACTGGAATTGGAACTCGGCTCTCAGATTAACAATTCCGAGCCATTATCCATTACATCACCTGCACATCCAAGCTTACAGCACCTGGTATTCCCAAGCGGTCATATATCTAGGTATAGACCAGACTCAACGTTGCTTAATTTTGGTGATTATATGGGAACAAGTGATAAACATTTTTAACTCTAGAACACTAACCATCAATTAAAGTTTCACCACTGCTAACCATGGATATATCATACCCAATTTTGAAAATATCAAAAAAAAATATTAAATATAAATCTTTATTTGAAATATTTTACATACAGGCACTTCAAACTTTGTACTTTGAGTTAACATTAATAGGAACTGAAAAACATTATTTAGGTAAGAAAATCAGGTACTGAAAATTGTAATTAAAAATAGGAAAATTTGCGCTGGGTACTATATAGCCATGGTTAATGTTCTAAGGTTAAAGAGAGAAAATAAAAGAATAGGAATTGAGAAGACATAAGATAATGATTGAGGTTGCATTTAAGAAGCTGCAAGAGAGATTGACAAGTGAGAAATGAAAATCTTAGCATAGAAATTATGGTTACATCTAGCAATTTCAAAAGTAAAATGATGAAACCAATGGGCACTTAAATTTGTAAAGTTTAAGTACCAAAAACAAAAACTCATCAAAACAATTTTATAAGAAAATATTTATAGAAAAGGCACAGGGAAGCTATAGTTACATCAGCAGTGGGGAAAGTGACTAAAGCCGAGATTCTGGGTCAGGACCAATAATAATGCAGATTCTTTGGATTTTATCAAAAATATCTACATACATAGAAGAAGCACTAGACCAGATGGATGGACAAATAACTTATAAATATGTAAGATAGATTCTGGCAAGAAAAATTTCTAGAACAATACGGTGGTGAACCAATTTTTTTATCCACTTCATATCAGTGAAAAACGTTAGCCTAGGAAGGCACAATGAGTCACACTCCTAGAGGTTAGCATCAGCCATGCTGATAAGAAGGAAAAAAAAAGGTTCTCTAAGAGGATTAAACAAGAGTGGTTTTGTTTTAATGTTAAAATTAACATAACATTTCTTGCCCCACTTAACAAGATTTGTAGGTTATTTTTGAGATCAGCTGCTAATTTGACATTATCATACTGATCAGACTTGCTATTATGTCAGGAATGAATAGTTGTGTCATCAGCATAAATACTTGATGACATCAGTAAAGTCAGTGATGAAAATTAGGAACAATGTAAGCCCAACAATAGAGCCCTGTGGGACACAAACATTTATGCATAAAGATATAGAAGTGTGGCTGTTTTCATTTCACATTTTAATAAGATTGAATCAGATCAAACATTCATTCAGAAATACTATAAAACGTCAAATGCCTTTGAACTATCTAAAGCAACAGACTGAGCTTCACTATTCTTATCTCAAGTCTCAATCTCTTTCAGCAATAACTGTTAATACATCAACAGTTAACCTAGAGAAGAAAAAAAAACAACATATTACTTGTCTGAAAGAAGACCCTGCAAATTGTGATACTGAAGGTTTAATTAAGGCCTTTAGCTCTTTACCAAACAGGTAGAATCTAATAGTTTGAATTATCTGATAGTTCTTAGACAGGAACTACAAAAGAGGAAAGCAAGAAGCAGCAAGACATTTACTGTAGAGTTTAGAGAGAACAGGAACCAGTTCAGGAATACATTTCTTAAGAAATATTACATGGATAACAGCAAGTCCACATGCTTTGTGGAGATCCAGTTTAGAGATGTTAGCAAAAACCATAGACAGAGTTATCTGTATATCACATAGTAGAGACCCAGTTCTAATTGGAAAGTCAGGCAAAGATATATCAGATGTGTCAAGAGTAGAATTGATATTTATGAACAAAACATTCTGCTTTAGCAGATGATAACTTAGTCAAGAGATAGAAAACTTACTCCTACTTAACACACTATTAGAGCTGCCAGTAGTCACAAGGGCCAAATTTGTTAAATCTGTATGGCGTCTCATTCTGTCAGGAAAGATATAGTCTCTTTAAGGACATGTTTACAATTATTATGAGTGAATACAAAGCAGTATCTGTTGTGATCAGAACAATTATGTTGGTACAGCCAGAAAAAGTGATTCCTGTGGGCTATACTGGCTGAACAGACAAGTTTGAACCAAGAAGAATGTGATTTTACCTGGTATTTCCAAGAAGTCACAAAAATATTGATGCCTGCTGTTACCCAAGAAACCTCAGTGGTTCAATTTTCAATAGGAAGTTAAAAAATTTCACCCCAATGGGTGCTGCGAAGAAGGTCATGAAATGAATCCCAATCAGTATGCAGGTAACAGAAACATGTTTTGTGAATAGGAGCTCATGTCTAATAGATGAGTCAAAAGTAATATTAACAGATGCTACAGTGTGATCCAAGTTTCACAGAGAACAAAGTTGTAATTTTTTTTTTTAATAAAGTTCACCTCAAATAAGGCTGTAAAGCCACTAAGATACAAGGAGTTACTGGGTGTGAAAAAATTAGAAAACAGAAACATTACTAAGGAGAGGAAACAAAAAAATGAGTAATCAGGAGGACAATCAATAGCAATTGAGATTGCATCGAAATTTTTGAAGATTAAAGTTGACTGGAAAGCATGGAGCCAGAAGAGGGTTCCACAAGTGAGAAGTGTGAGAAAAGAAAATGTTAGCATAGAACTTACTATTTCATGCAGCCAACTCAACTGTAAATTGATGAGGACTAGTAATCAGTTTAGTACAGCAATTAAATTCATAAAATTTAGATACCCTGGCGAAGAGCTCATCTGAACAGTTACCATGAAAGTATTTATACAAAAGGCACAGTGAGGCAACTTTACCACAGTAGGAAAGTGACTGGAGCCAAGACACCAGATCAAGACCAATAATATTGCTGATTCTTACAAATCAAGTAAAAAAGCTTGTTGATCAGAATTATTAGGGAAATGTTTTATACCATATCTATGAACACTAATGGGTATGCCCCAATCCTCATAAATACAAAGTAACGAAAAAAGTTCTTCACAGTATGTGTAACTTATATTTAGTCTTTGAAGTAATCGCCATCGGCATCCAGCATCTTCTGCCAACGTGTCTTCAGCTGTTCAATGCCCTTGTGGTAGAACTCGGGGAATTTTGATGCAAAGAAGTCCGTGAGGGCTTTGCACAAGTCTGCTTCATTGGTGAAAGATTTCCCACAAAGATGATTATCCAGGGAGTGGAAGAGGTGGTAATCGGATAGCGCAAGGTCAGGTGAATAAGGTGGATGGCACAAAGTCTCCCACCCAAGTTGCTGTATGGTATCCCTGACCACTCGTGCGACATGCAGCTTGGCGTTGTCATGGAGGAAAAGCACACCTTTGTGATTCACCAGTGCTGGCTCCTTCTGGCCAATGCCTGCTGCACATGTTTCAATTGCTGCGAGTATAGGTCTCCAGTAACCGTTTGGCCCGTTGGTAGCAGTTCATAATGAAACACTTGATGACCTGTCCACCAGACACAAAACATAATCTTGCGTGGTTGCATAGGCGGTCTTGCGGTGTGAGGGACAGCATCCTGGAGACAACCAATGTCTGGAATGCTTGGGAGTTTCGTACAGAAGCCACTTTTCATCACTGGTAAGCACTCGATTGAATAAGGATGCGGTACGGTGGCAAGAAAGCAGCAATATGCAGGCTGCCACTCGTTTTCCCTTGTGGACCTCCAACAGCATTTGCGGAACCCACTTGCTCAGTTTGTACGTATTACCTAGGCGGTGCAGGTGAAGTCTAACTTTCATCGGAAACATTGAACTGTCTTGCAAGTTCACCACATGTTAGACTACTGTCCTCTTCAATGGCCGCCTTCAGGACTCTGACATTCAAGACCTGTGGTCGTCCACTGCAAGGCTCATCATGGAGAGACAAATCTCCCGACTTGAATTTTTGAAACCAACGCCTTGCAGTACGTTCATCCACAGCACTATCCCCAAATGCTTGACATATGCGGCGACATGGTGCAGCTGCTGATAAGCCCACTTTGAAGTTGTAAAGCAAACAGTCCTGAACGAGATCTCTAGACACTTTGATCCTTCTCACAACTGATGACCGGGCATGGTGCACGTGTTTTTTACAACATCTGATGTTCCGACTTCCGGCTGTCCGAATTTGAAAACAATTGCTACACGCATTTCGTATATATTTCAACTTCATTCAATGACTAATCAAAAAACAGACAGAACTTTTTTGGTTACCTTGTACATTGGACACTATTGTAAGTGGGGGTATTATGCTGTCTAAAAGTAGTCCACCACTAGCAGTGGTTTACCTACTTCATGTTGCTAGTGAGTATTGTATTTTGTTGATGTTATAAAGATTACCATTTCATTTCTAACCTCTGTTTTGGTTATTCCTCATTCAGTAACCTTTCCTAGGTTACAATAGGAAACAAGTAAGAAAATCTCCTAGTTGACTGAGCAAGGGAAAAATTGAAAGTCTGAATACTAGCAACATCAGAATGATTAAGTCAGCTGACATGAAGAGCATTAAAATCACCAAACACAAAGATACTATAGGATGATCAGAAATTGGCTAGAAAAAATTGTTTAGAACTCATCAATAGTTGTGCTAACACATAGTTACAAACTAAGAGTTCAAGCATACTGGGCTTGTTCAACTACTAATGACACCAGATTCTGTACTCTTTAGCAAAAACTGTAACTAAGGTCTCAATCTTCATTATTTCTCAAGAAGCAGGAAGCTTTCAACTAAAACCGACACCTATCAGGTCCTCTCATTTCAGCCTTTTGATCAGTTCCAATCTCCATTGATTTCAGTTCCAACTTCCGTTTTGGTTATTCTTCATTCAGTAACCCTTCCTAGGTTACAACAGGAAACAAGAAAATCTCCTATTTGACCGAGCAAGGGAAAAATCGAAAGTCTGAATACTAGCAATATCAGAATGATTAAGTCAGCTGACATGAAGAGCATTAAAATCACCAAACACAAAGATACTATAGGATTATCAGAAATTGGCTAGACAAAACTGTTTGGAATTCATCAATAGTTGCGCTAACACATAGTTACAAACTGAGAGTTCAACCATACTGGGCTTGTTCAAATACTGATGACACCAGATTCTGCACTCTTTTGCAAAAACTGTAGCTAAGATGTGGTCAGTAAAGTTGCAGTATGAACCACATGTGTTTGCAACAAAGATTAGCTAACCAACCTTGTAGATGAAAATGAGCAGTCAGTTATTATTTCAGATATAGAATCACATTGATGTCATTGGCTTTTCATAATGGATTGTTTCTCCAAAATGATCATGCAATTTATCTCTAAAGCAAATGAATAGATGTTTGCATTTAACATTTGAATACCACTTGATTGACAATCTACTAATTGCTTTTGGTTATTACTGTTGCCAAGGAATACAGTTTGTTCCTCTTGACATTGTAATGGTTGTTATTGTTGTAATCTGTCTTCATTATTTCTCAAGAAGCAGGAAGCTTTGAGCTAAAACCTGACTCTTATTAGGTCATCTCATTTCATTGTTTTTATCAGAATTAATTTTGATAATTTATCAATCAGGGACAGGAAGAGGATTCAACTCAAGATAAAGCATAAAATAACCAATGCCTAAATTTGGGAGTCATGGCTTCTAGTGTAGAGTTAATAGTAAATAGATGGAATTATAAAGTAAACAAATAATTATTAATTTTAACTAGTTATTTGGATTCATTTTCACTCATCTTATTTTCATTCATTTTCATTCATCTTAAATTTTAATTAATTCTAACAAGTATTTGCATTCAACTTAATTTTTCCTTATTTTAACAGGTCAATTTTAATGTTTTTATTATAAATTCAGATTAGCACTTGCATTCTTGTAAATTTTTCATTAATTTTGATTAAATTACATACCTCCCCACAAAATAATATACCTAAGGTATGCATTTTTAAAAATGAAAAATCATTCTTGAAGCTTTCATTTTAGTTTTAATTTCAAGCTAATAGATTAAATTTAATATTTCAAATAAGCAAAATACTTTGCTGTATTTCAAAACTAATTTAAATTGACTGAAAGGAGTTTTTTTTTTTTTGCTAAAATTGCTGATTTGCACCATATTTTAGTTTTTATTGCAATGTAATTCTCTTTATCAAAAAATTTTCCAAAATTAAAATATACATTTCTGATTGTTTTTATTTTTACCACAAAAAAGATAAATTTCCCATACTAATCTTTAAAAAGATTGGAATCTTTTTTTCCTCTCTTTATGAGTAAAATCTATAAATTTGTCCATATTTACAGGTCTCTCAACACAGTTCTCTTTAAAAAAAAATAATCTTTGAGAAAAATTAACTGATTTAAAGCTTAATTAATCTGAATTGAAATAAATATCACTTACTTTTAATTCAAAATACTGCAAAGAATATTTAATATGTAGGTGGCTGCTTTTCTCACATGTTGAGGGATTTTAATGACAGCCTGTTTGGAAAGTTTAAGGGAGGGGGACATAACTGAAAAAAATTACTTGAATACGTTAATGCCTTTTTAACCTTAAAAAATTCAAGAAAATAATCTAAGCAATTTTAATCTTAATAATTTATTGAAGTTTAGGTACTTTGGTTTTACAGCCGTACTTACAAAGATGGTTAAGAAAATTACCAATAAATTTATTACCGGTACCTATTTTCTAATATTGTGTATAGACATCTGTATTTACAAAATTCAACATATTTATATGCACAAAAATATAATCATTAAAATACTTGGTGGTCGTTCAATTGTAGTGAGCTTTTACATTTATGATTAGTAATTTAATAACAATCTCACTTGGCCGCTACAAATTAATACAAAATTTTATATTGTAATTAAATTTTAAAAAAAATTAAAACAATTTATGCAAAAATTTATTATTCGTTTGTAAAATATTTTTTTTTGTAAGAAAAGTGCCCATAATGTATTTTTATTCATAAAATAATTTCTAATTAAATAATGTCTTAGTTTTATTGCATGATTCAGAGCTGAGTTTCTGTAACTGGGGGCCATGTTTCACCAAAAGCAAATTTGAAGATTTAATTTCTCTGAGGAATTGTCCTCATAACTAATAAGCATTAAACACTACAAAAAAAAAAAAAAAAAAAAAAAAAAAGTTTAAAAAATAATTTCACTCAAATATGAGTAAGCCCTTAAAGTTTCCTTAAAACCTCTTTTATTAAGTTCTGGGCACTTTTTCACCATTCATGCTCATTTTAGTGAATCACTGGAGATACTAACATTTACTTTTTTTGTAGAACTTGATTACTGGCTACGCATGACTGGTAAAACAGGCCATTACAGTCTGGAAGCCGCTGTTGCCAAATCTATAGAGGCTGTTTGTAACAAGAAAAATATCAAGGATGACAGAATCAGGAAGAAAATAATTCAATGCCAAAAACTCCTCGGTAAGTTCCAAGGTACAGAATTCTAATTAAAGATTGTAGATTATTTCTGCTGTATTTGTTTCACAGTATTGTATTCAATTAAAACATTGAATCATTATCAAAGTTTAGCCAAGTGTGAATACATACAAAAGAACATGTATCGCCTTTTTTTTTTTTTTTAACGTTGTCTCCAGAGTAATGCTGCTAAACCTCATCAGAGAAAAGACAATGTTTCATCTTAAAAATACCTTTTGTTCATTTAGTAGACAAATGTCATATGGGAAGGGCTTTGAGAAACTGGTATGGATTGGTTCACCAATTGTATCACATAAATGACTGTTTTCCAGTGTCATCTATGACTTTGAATTGACTCTCCAAATTGAGCCCCATAACATTATTCAGCTGCAAGCATGCTTGTTCAGATATGATGAAAGAAACAAGTTTGCATACATTGTTTTAAATATAATGATCAATCAAGGAAGTATCAGTTGAAATTGTGAACCTTTTAGAAGAGAGTGTATACACCAATAAGTATATCTGACAAAATATTTTCTAGTGATAATTAACAGAAGTCACTATCTGCCAGCCAAATTTCCACACACCTTAAAAACTGAAATTCCATAACATACATAAAGGCAATTAAGAGATCATATTATTACATATATATGGACATTGAGAGGGCACCTCGGCGTGGTGTAATGGTTAGCAAGCTTGTCTTGCTATATCAGTTACAACTGAAAAGTGAGTTCGATTCTCACTAGATGCCCCATACTTTTGGCCTTGTGCCACATCTAAGCTATGCTTGGAAAATAACTATATATGGACATTGAGGCCAACCCCAACAGACTGTTTCACACTCAAACACAACCGCTAGGCCATTGTGTTTATGCACGAAACAGATTGTTCCCACAGGACATTGGCCTCAATGTCCACTTTTATACTTACATACACTATCTTCGATACTGAGCACTTTAACTCATAAATATAGTATACCTTAAAACTATATTTATATATATACATTTTGATTGTCAATTAAGAATGACGAGCAGGTGGGTGACCTTCTGGAACTGTACCTTGAATTGAATTGCTTGTTTCTAACAACCAAGCTCATTCATAACAGTGAACATTCAAGTAAATTAACAATCACTATATGCCCCTAACTAGCTTGAGTATTTTTTTTTTTACTCATAATATATTTTAGCAATCGCTGGTAGTCTCCATTTTCCTATATGGATGTGAAACATGGACATTGTTAGCAGATACAGAGAGAAGATATCCAAGTGTTTGAGAACAAATGCATGAGAAAACTCCTTGGCATTTTCTATTGGGAACCAAAAAAAAATAATGAGTTTATGAGAAAAGCGTTGAGTCTTGTGGGAGACCAGGAACCTCTTCTCATCACTTTCAAATGGAAAAAAATGGTGTGGTTTGGACACATTGCAAGGCACGACAGCTTGTGCAAGACACCGTTGAAGGTGGATGTAAGAGAGGATGCCAACACAAAAACTGATTGGACAATGTCAATGGACAGGTATGACTGTACCAGAATTGCTGATGGCTGCCATTGATAGACTGTTATGGAAAAGAGTTAGTGTGTTTCCTGCATTCATATCTGCCCTACAATTACAAAGTCAAGGGGATGATGATATTTTAGCAACATTTGCATAACTGGTCTAGTTTATTTAAAGAATTTGCAATAAGTATACTTCAAGCTCTCTTTTATCTATCAATAAAAATACCATAATTTATTGAAAACCAAATTAGCAACATATTTCAACACAACTGTAGTATAAAAAATTTTTTTATGAGTTTGTCATATTGACATCATTTCAGTTTATGAAACTACTTAGAAGTTATAACATCTAGAAATTTAAAATCACTGCTTTATAAAAGCTTAAGAGTCCCAAAGCCGCACCCTGTATTATCCCAAAGCAGTGGTCTTCAAACTATTTTGGACCATACCCAACATGACATATGATTCTCATTATTATTCAAAAAGTGAAATATTCACATGGAAGAAGACTAAAAAGCCACTAACTTATCTAAACAAACTTCCAAAGAACATGGCAGCCATGAAAGAGAAAAATAAAAGGACAGTTGAAGTACTGAGGAAGAAATTGTTAAAATATATAAATATATATACATACATACATATACATATAAAATTAATCCCAAGAGGGTAGAATCCAGGTAGAACTCAATGTCCAGGACAGAGTAAGGATTTGTAGGTCTGGTGAATTGGATCGTATTTACAATTCCAATGTAATAAATTATGACCATGGAGCACTAGTGTTTAAGCCTTTTTTTTATTTATATATATATATATATATATATATATATATATATATATATATATATATATATCTCACACAGAAAGTAACAATATATTTTTTGTGATGGCGATAAAACAGTATCTACACTGCCCATGGTGACCCCAGAGTTTTGGAAATGTAGAACATACAGCACTGCACCATATAGAATGCATCATTCATGCTTTGTGAGGACAAAGGTTGCGAATGGACTGACATATTAGAATCAGTTGTATTTTCGATGAACTCTAATGTTAGTAGTTCAACGGGCACATCCCCAGTTTTAGCCAGGTCACGTCACATACAACTGCACTCAATTGATTGTCCAATCAAATGCCATTACAATTGTTGCTAGGCCAAGATTCATCCACGCAAAGAAAATTAGGCATATAAAATCATGTGTGCATGAAAACCAAGTCAGATGAATCTGAGACAAACTGGAGAGTAATCCAAGAAGAAACAGAAAATTAAGAAAAAAGAACCATTCAGCACAAGATCCTAAGTCCTTGACAGACATCCAAATGAACAGGATAAAGAATAAATTCAATCCAGCAACACTGAAACCAATCAATTCTAGAGCAAATTGGTAATCCCATTTTTGTGCATTACTAATTATATAGATAAAAATTGTGTGTGCATTTGCTTCCATTTTTTTTATGGAAGATCGAACATTGTTGCTGAACCAGAAGTTATCTGGGAGTGGGCTATAAATTGCTAAGAGGAGTCGCAGTATTGTAGTTATAAAGATGGGAAAAACTGTAGCTAATGAAAGGTACACAAGTCAATACCATTCAGTATTGGCTGGGTCACCATGGAGAGGTGGTATGATGTTGAAAGACCCGAAACCCCTAATGAACCTTAGCCAGAAACATCACTAATGAAGTGTACCAAAGCACCCAATAGATGCTATTTTACAAAATGTGTGTGTGTGTTTTGCTGATGGCCACTGACAAGATCCAAGGTTGGTACATTTGTTTTGCATTAATATTTTTATGCCTATGTGACCGTTTATGTTTCTTTGTTCTATTGTATTCTTTTCCCTGATAATCAATTGGTAACTAATCATTGAACGATCGATATCAACATTTGCATCACAACACATAACATCACTAAGGAATTTGAAAAAAAAAAAAAAGATTTTTTTATTAATTTCAATTGTTGTAAATTCTTGTTTGGGTTCAAGAAATTTATAATTATTAAAGTTGTGTAATCTGCTATTCACATTCCCTTGTGCCTTTCCTTTAGCTTACGTTAATTTAAGGGTCTATTTTTAACACGTGAATAGACTGAAACCCAATTGTGAACAATAGGGAACATAACAATAACAAAATAAAATCCAGTATAATCATTGGATTCTACCTAAGAATATGTAGCTCAAATTATGTCATGCACATGCGTCACCCTACCAACAGAACAAATGGAGTCCTGGAGGACAAAACGCTTCACAAACTTCTTCTACAATTATATATAATATATGTATACATATATACACACACACTTTTATTTTGAGCATCAATGTGATTAAGTTCCTAGTTTGTTGTACTTTCCCAGTTCTGATATAGGTTTTTCTGTACGTTTTTTTTTCTTCCCCCAAACAAATATTTCTAAAGAAGAGTTTGATAAAGAAAAAAAAATTAAAATTTATATAAATAGATAAATGTCTGTGCGTTTATATATATATATTAAAAAGAGAGGAACCACAAACATTTTTGGTTGCAATATGGATTTTTTTTTTTAAATATATATTATGCTTTATTTTCCATAATTTTGCCACACTGGTTTTGGGTCTCACAACCTTCTTCAGGCAAAGAGTGGATATTTCCACATATTAAAATTAATTTTCCTTATGTTTTTCAATGTTAAACATTCACTTTTTTTGTGTAGTAGTGACACAAATGTCTATCTTGGACTGGTGATGAGAAAATTCTTCTGCTTGAAATGTAATAAAACAATTAAGATTGGTCCAAAGGGTGAAGAAAGATATCTATATTCTTATCTTTTAATGTGTTCTTAGATCTATTTCCATTTTTTTGTTTTGTGTTTTTTGCCAGTATGCGTATATATATTTCCTCTCCATATATACAGTCTTATAAGGAATTAGTATACACATATACATACAGACACTTCCTATGTTGTGTAGGGTTCATGTGTGTGCTTGTGAGTAGTCTATTTGTTTTTGCCACTATGTGTATATATATTTGTGCTCCACAAATACTTGTGTATGCATGCGAGTGGTTCGACCACTGTATTTGGTCATTATGTGGGCATGTTCTGTGTTTTTGTGTAGAGTAATAATCTATTTTGTGCTGGTTTAAATTTGTTTATGAAGTTTTTTCTTGTATTTTTAGGTAAGAATAATTGTCTGTTTAGTATATTGGCATAATTTTAAATTCAGCCTGGTTACATTTATAGATGTGTTGTGATATAAAGAGTTTTCTGTTCTCTGGTAATTTGATGTTGCTTTTGTGAAGGGAAACTGTTATTTAATGCTTGGCTGATACTTATATGACTTCTTGCATAAACCACATTTTTGGAGTTTTCAAAATGTAGGAATTTCCTTCTATAATGTCACAAACCCCACATCTTTTTTGTTGCATTTTGTGACTCCCTGTATTGTGTTGGCTAAATTTGGATGAGGTTAATGCATTTCAGGTTTTTAGATTGGCATTTGCTTTTAATTATTTTGGTTGTTTTTAGTATATTTTTCAGTTT